GCTCCCCTGGTTCTCTGCTATGCATTGGAGAAAGGAACAAGAACACACAAAATTAAAAGATCCCATCTATTTTTAACCACATGCACACTACATATTTAGAGTGACCTTGTAGGCGAGGAAACAAGATTCATGAGATTAGTGCTACCATTTTGCTTTATTTTATACCAGCTCCCTCACTTGCTCCCGTGTCTCCTTGCCGCTGAGCTCCACACCGACCTCCACCACCCTCCACATCTACGGCAAGGCACGAGTGCTTCCAGAGCAAATTACGATACCCATAAGGACTTCAGCATCTCGCAGCCCTATCACCACAAATTACCTCCTGGATGCTAAAAGCCATGCTGCGATCAGATCTCCAGCTCTCCAGTCCTTCTGGTAACGTAACAAACCAGTCACGATTTCACTGGAAAGGGCTTCAAGGGTCAATACTAATTTTTCCAGGGTGGAAGGTTTTGGTCGGGTGCTGGTGGTGCCTCTCCTGCCCCAGCAGCCCAGCGTGCCGCCGGTGTGACAGGACAGGGGGGCAGTGGGAGCCCCACAGGGGGAAAGGGGAGGCTGAGGACACCTCCAGCCCCTTCACATTAACCAGATGGAGCCAGCAGCCCAGCTCTGCAACAGCACTAAGGTTTACCACTGCCACACAGGCAGTTCAAGAACCGATCGATACAAATGGTGATCCTCGAAAGTACGGTACAAATATTAGAAAAGACCACACTAAACCAGCCTCACCGGTAGCTGTTCCTGGGCAGCTCTCCCCGCCTCAGCAGCTGATGTGCATCTCCAGCTCTTGCATGACTATTTCTACTGCTCCCCACTTCAGCGGAAAATAATTCACCAAAGGTCACGCAATCCTTCTGACACAATAAGGCACTGTTGAAGAATAACTGTTTCCGCTTGAAACAAAATATAGATTCTGGATACTTTGCTGATGCCACAGAGTCAATAATTCTCTCTCCTGCCAGCAAAGCCTGGAGGGATTAATAAACTGCTTCGAACTAAACTCGGGAGTAAGAGGAGCTCTACCCAAGTCTCACTGCAGAGATATATTTTACAGTGTAATATGCAACAGTGAGCTTTCGTTTCTCATCAGCTATACACTATATAGATTTTTTTTTTTTAATATATATACCAGATTATTTATAATGTTAACGAAGGATGAGGCTCCTAACTTTACTCCTTACTTGAGACCAGAAAGAAAAGAAGTCCTGTCATCAGGCGTTACCTAGGAAAGAATAAATGGCAACGGGACCTCAGAGACATTCATCCTGCCAGCGGAGCAACAACTTCCAGCCAGGCGTGGAAACAGATGCCTTGGCACTGGGAGCAGCCCTAGCACACAGAACAGATGACATCACCACACTCCACGCCCTGATGTCATACCAGTTCCCAACTGCCGGGACCGCTCCTCGCCTCTTCCCCACCACCCAGGCAGCAGGAGGCTCTCAGATTAAAGCATTCAGTTGAATCAGGTTTGAAGGACAGAGCCAAATCCAGTGGACAAGAAGTTAAGTGCAGCTTTAGCATGTCTGCAAGGCAGCCAAGAGCATGTTCCTGCCGTAGAGATTTCCTTGCTAAAACATACCAAACCCAAACCCCGCCAGTGGGTGAAAAGTAGGCCCAGCACTTTGCTAGTGCCAGGGGAGATTTAACTCGCTAGGGGTTGTGTTGTTTTGTTTTTAAAATGAGACAAATTTACGAAGTACCTGCAGAACAGCCACATGGAAGGAACAGGTTTCACGGTGCCTTGGTCGCCCATTGCTGTCTCCTTCATGATGTGAGCGACTCCTGGCTGGACACGTATAGGAGACAACTTGATCTAAACCTGCCGCTTCTCTCAGATGTGCCGAGACGGGCAGCAGAGCAGCATCACGGAGATGTACTCCTTCCATCTGGAACACATCTACAGAGAGGAAAAGTCTGCTTTCTGTCTTGAGCTGATTTTCCCACTGCTGACATCGCTGTGCACTGCCAGGCTCTGTCCAGCTTGGGGTGGCATCAGGCAACGCAGCTGCTGGCACTTGTTGTTCCTCTGAACTTTTCCAAATATTTTAACTTCCTTCTATAAGAAACATTATTTATGCCTCACAACATTTCAGAGAAAAGTGTCCATGCGTTCTCCTGAATAGCGGAAAACTGAAGGGCTCAAAGCCAAGGAAATATCCTACGGTGCTACAGCAGGAAGCTGGAAGAGCAGGGAAATAACAGCAATAACCCTGTTCTTCATGGCTGTGCATTTATATATGTCAAAAACTGGCTCAGTTTAAAAGAAGAAAAAAGGTTCCCTTTCCAGATTTCTCTAACCAAAATCGTAACATGAAGACTACTAAGTAAGGCCAGAATTTTGTTAATAGTGTGGGAAATCTAATACCAAGAAAGCCTCTTTATCCTGTTACTAGCTTTTATGGGGAAAAAATGCATAAGAACCAGCATAGCAGTGACATCTCCTGGAAGCCAACAAATCATCATAGAAAAAAATTCAGCTTTTTAGCTCTATCTTGCTCATTGACAATCAGTTTGGCTGATTCACTTGAACACTGAGAGTATAAGAAATACCACTGTTGTTTAACTTGCCCGTCATGGCAGAAAAAACCCGACCAGCACACACACCCCCCCACTTTACGAACCAGCTCTCCCAAATATCTGTGGGAAAATCTTTGCTCTCTGAACAGCTCCTGAAGGGAAAAAAAACACATAGATTATAAAAGAGTAAGGAAGCAATATTTATTGTTCTAAAACTCAGAACTAATTTTTATCTGCTCAGATTATCTGGCTGCTGCTTTGTCAATATATTAGATTTTTATTGCGGTAATCCCTGCTTCTTGGAACTAATAAAGCTGCTTTTGTACAAGAAAATTAAGGAAACCTTTCTGATCAGCTCGCTTCACCCGATCCTCAGCTGCTCTTTGGGGAGCACTGGTGATCAAAATGCACATACGGGGGAAGAGCATCCATTGACAAGTTACAAGGGGCAGTAGGAGGGTTCCAGTTCCACAACGCATTGCCTCTCCTATCATGTATCCAGTGTCAGCCTTCTCACCTGGAGACAACAGAGCAAATCTTGCATCAGCCTCAGCCTATCTGGACACCCCAAATCCTTTTTCTTGTAAGAGACTTCTGCTCGCAGCCTCCGAGCCAAATTTGCTCAAAGGGAACCAGCCAAACAAGAGCGATATTCGAGACCCCTGTTTTTGTGAGCACATCGACCCCTCGCCACTTGGAATCTTTGTCGGACTTTTTTAAACCCCTCTCCCCATGCTGACCAGAGGCACTGTGTCACGCTGTCACAGAGCTTATACGCTTACCCACAACAGAGTTGGGTATGAAAGCCTCCCAGCACAGAGGATCCTGTTCCTGCAATGACAGACCGTCGGGAGGCCCCACAATTGCAACGCTGAAATACCTCGTTTTCCTACCGCCACGCTGCTCTTAGGGAGATGCTGGGGCAGCCTGGCTGGCTGGAGGGAAAGGGGTCCCAGCACTGGAGGAACGAGGGAACCTCTCTCACTTTCAAGCCTTTGCACTGGAAAGCAACCGTTACAGAGCAAGAAATCCAGAGGTGATATCTGGGAGTGAAATGGCCACATACTAAACAGAAAAATTGAGTTCTCAAAGGCATGTACCAGAGCAGCACTAGCACAGGCATCTCACCGCCATGCTCTAAAAACAAGCTCCAAATACCTAATGAAAACAGCCACATATGACAAGTGGCACTGGATATGTGTGCTGGGGTTTGGAAGGGAATTCACTCAGACTACACAAAAGTAAACCTTTAGCAAAGAACCAAGTCCCAGCTGCAGTGGTGAAGGGATGTGAGCAGCACTGCAGCCAGGTCCCTGCAGCTCCGGGTCCCCGCAGCTGTGCTACAGCCAGGGCTCTTCTCTCCCAGAGGCTGCACTGAGAAGGCACCGCCAGCTGCCCACCAGTCCAGTGCACCGAGGGACAAGCTCACCTGAACGAGCAAGCAGACACTTCTGCCCACCACTGACATTCCTCTTGCCTGTTGGTATTCCAGCAACTTAAAAGGCCCATCAGGGTTAGGGTTGGCGAAGTTCTTCTCCCAAGACCCTGCAGCAGCAGGAGTATTCAGCTTTGACCCTTCCACCTGCTGACCCCCAGCACCCAAGTAATGCCTTACAATATGGAATCAACTTTTTTCTCTTGACAAGCAAAGCTTTTTAGAGAACCGCATGAGTATTTGCTTAGCGGTACTGGGGAGAAGCAATAGCAAAGGAAAGTATTGCATCTGTATAACCACAAACAAAACCTGCCTTTTCAAAGGGATAATAAAGGGAGGGGCAGAAAACGGCACACTCAGCAGTGCTTGGCACTCTTGCTTGGGCTCTTGTGCTGCTCTCTCCTCCCACACCGTAACGTATTATTAGAGGAAGTTCAAATGTTAAGCCATATGGAGCATCAAGAATTGTGAATCTGCCAAAGAGCAACGGTGCAAAACAAAGTACGCTGTTTGTCACCGACAGACAGAAGTCCTGAAGTTGTATGTGATGATTTATAACTCAAAAAAGGGAAAAGGCAGCCTGCAATAGGCCTGAAGTTACCAAAAAACTTCATAATTTAAAATCTATGAAAACACACAACCTTTCTACTTAAAATAGATTTATGAATAGTTTTATGAAAGAATAAGAAAGGAAAAGTCAGTCTTTAACAGTGTTTGCTACAGGTGCTCCTGTTTTAAGAGCTGAGAAGCATGGAAACTTTCATATTTAACTCTTCCTTAAGAGTTGTTCAGCATCAAATTACTTCCGAACTGCTAGTCTGTGTGAAAGTGCCCTAATGGCGTTCAGTCACCTGGGTCACTGAAAAGTAAAATACAGAAGTGTGCAAGCAACTTTTTCCCCTCTGTTACAGGAGATTTACAACCAACTTCTCTATCCGGATCCTAGCCTATTTAGGAGGGAGAGGAATTCTGAGTGTGGTATTCTAGTTTGCTTCTGAAAACACTGGCCACAGCTGAAAAGGAAGATTCGCCATGTGAACATTCAGGATAACTGTTTCTTTTCAAGAAAAGCCAAAGGGCCAGAGGAAAATAATTTTATTATATCCACATTTAAAAGAGTAGGTGTGAACTCGCATGCAAAATTAGGTTGTTTTGGGTGGGTTTTTTTTTTTTTTTCCCCTGTAGAACAAATTCTCATCTTTGTTCATTACAGATCCTTTCAAAGTCACTCTATTAACTTTCTCACTGCCAGGGATCAAGCCAGGTACACGCCAGTTTAATGAACTAGATAAACAATTGTGTCACCAATGTCCTTTGTCAGGCCATTCTCAGTAACGCAAACACGTTTCTCGTCCAGGTCAATGTGGAAGATGGCTTGCTCCAGAATAGGCGTTTTCTCTGCTTCTTCTTTGCCAAGGACTGGAACACGGCGTGGCCCAAGCACAGGATCATCAAACCTCATCAGCTTCACTTTAGAAAGATCTGCAGTAAAGAGACTGGCTAGTTAGGCTACAGGCTCTACACACAAGCTATAGTATCAACTGAATTAATCAAAGCAATACTTAATACTTGGTACTTCTGTTTCTGCTCCAAGGAAATACATTGTCTCGGGAGTAACATTCATGTTAAGGTTTAGACCCACTACAAAGATGTCATTCAATGGTTACACAGCAAGTTAACAGCAGAAATGGGGATAAACCACACAGAAATACCAACTCCCAATACCACACTCTAAGCACTAAATTTGCCTTATCTGGCTTTGGGACAGCCATGAGTAACTGAACAGTTATAGTATCATTTTCTGAGGAATGAATTTCAGAGAAAGGGGAAGGCAAGAGTTGTTTTAAATACAATTCCCTATTAAAATGTACGCTAATCAAAGACTGCTGAGCAGACCAAGAAAAATCTCTAGGAAGCCTGGGATCTTTCAGCCAAGCCTTCCTCCAAGTATAACCTTCTAGCCGTTGTGCACCAACAGAACACTGACACCTTCTGGAAAAGACAGAGAGTGAGATAGCCACTGTTTAATCTCACTTGTTTTCAATCATTTCAAAATATCTACCTAGCAGAAGGCTAGTAGATACGCATACACGTCATACAGTGCATTTCCCCCGCCTGTATTTTGCTATGTACTTTATCATATATTCCTCTTCTGTGTGCACCGTCATCAGTATGTAGTCATCTTTGTTCTACAGATAAACATTAACATAAACACAAGCTGTTGAAAGATACAGAAAGAAAAAATTACTCTCCTGTCACAAGCTTTTGGATGAGGTCCAGTTTTCCTTTTATACCCAGCTCACAGTGCTTCAGATTTGTTTGATTCTTAATTCCTGCATTCTTCAACAAGAACACAGATGTTGTTGCTTTAAGAAAGCTATTTTCATTCATTATACTGGCCAGAAACTTAATACTTGTTTCAACCATGTCTGACATTAAATTTTATCATGCTATTCTGTGTTTTCCCAAAATACCTTTCCAAGTAGGTGGATAAGTGAGGAATACTAAAATTATCAACAAGTAGGCTAGAAAAGACATTGCTTATTTCCAAGAAGAATCAAGGAAAAGCACCCACCCTGAAATACTGCTACTTACAAAGACCACCTTTAGACTGTCAAGATACCACGAACATTTAAACTGACCATAGCAGAGGCAGCTTTTATTCCAACTGCAACAAGGCAAAACACAGGAAAGGGGCCAAGATTTTCTCAGTGCCACGCAACGAGACAGTGACTAAGATGAAAACAGAATCTCTCCTCTTTTGTCTTGTCAGTGCACATCACCTCAAGAACTTACGCAGCAGCAGCAAAGCCCTGTATAAAGTTACTAGACAGAAAACTATTTAGAAAGCAAAGAAGCAAGAGGAGGCAAAGTAATTATTGGCAGCAATCAGGATTTTTGCCAAAAAAAGGAACCTCCATAGCGTGGGATTTTTTTCCTATGATGGAATTCAGGTTCCTAAACCACAGTACACCAGCCACTTCAGAGCACTCGACAGGCTCTAAGTAAATATGCCATAGCAAAAGCAGTGCCCCCAAGCTCTGCCTGGAGACCTTTATCGGAGCCATCACTGCACCACCACTGAGGCACTGATTTCTGGTAAGCAAGCAGTGATGATGCTGTCAGACACAGCAGCAAGTTCTGGCTCCCCGGTTGCTCTCGCTTGGGTCTCCATGACTGGGAACCAGCTAACACCAGGGGATGGAATAGGCAGCGTTACAACAGCTTAAATGCAAAGTCAGGTTCACAGGTGACGAAATGCTTTTGTCTTAATGCTTTCACACTGGAATCCAGTTTAAGAGCTGAAATAAAGTATCAGTGCATAAAGAATGTAAGAGTGGAGAGAGAAAAAATAGCTCCAAGGATTCAGAAGAAGTATTACACTAGTTCCCAAAGAGGTTGCTAGTTCAAGTTTGGCATAAACAATGGTAATTGATAGGCTACTGAGCAATTCTTCAGTAATCCCAATTTTAAGTGAATACATAGTTTTCCACTATGAACTGGGACAGAAATTATTAGGAACCAATGTAGCAACTGTTAAATTAATTCACCTTAGGCTAAATAGAAAAATAAATTTGGTAAATTTTTTTCAGCCCTGGGCTCCAAAATGGAAGTGGCAGAAGCTGCCTATAACCAGTTATGGGACTAACTCTTCTTCTTGGAAATTCAAAGCACAAGGGGAAATATCATTCATATTAATCTCTGGCTGAAACTAGGTTTCGGTGTACCAGTGGCAGAATAAAAGACTAATGACGAAAACCCAGAGAGAAGCCTGCCTATTTGCAGATTATCTCTTTTCTTGTTCACTCAAACACAAAATTTTTGCTCCTTTCTAAGCATCTGTGACATCTAAGCGGCACAAACTTCAGCAGCTTTGTTTCCACTTCTCTCCTGGAAACATTAATCTAATCAGCGTGTGGTAGCTGTATGTCTGTGCTAGTATTTCACCTTTGATTCCTCTGTCCATCTTCATTAAGCGTCTGATCACTGTCTCTCTGTTGTCTCCTTGCCTGATTTCAATCTTTGTAGAGAAGTGGCCATTTGATGGTTGAGGGTTCACCAAAAATACAGACACACTGGGCTGCAAGAAAGTTAATACATACATTAAAGGAGAATCTGTATTTGTGATCCAAGCCTCAGAGGAAACATGAAACTAAAACAAATAAACATCACCTATCAACAAATATTCTGGATGAATAAGCTTCATTTACAAACACTGCCAGTGGCAGAATTCAAGCACTCCCACAACTCTTCAAAACATAAGCCACAGTATGCACAAGTTTTTAGGACATATTTAGGGAAATCAAATTTTTACTGTTGAAAAGTATTAGAGCTATAAATATTCATACATGATACCATTATTGCAGAGTTTCACTAATCTTACACATTACTCACTAATTCTTCCAAGACTCCATGACACAGCTGTAGGAATATTTTTGAAAGGTTTCATTTTTATACAACTGAATGCCATTTATTAGCCCATTATAAACTAACGGGTAACATAGAAAGTATTGAAAAACACTTTAGGATTCAGCAAACAAGTAATACAAAGTTTCACATGGAAATTTATAATACCTTAAAACAAGTATAATAAGTAGTTGAGGCATATGGCTGAAAGAAACAAATATAAGAATATGCTAATGCTCGGGTCACCTGTTTTTAACAGTCTTCAGGTCAAATCATTAAATTCTGCTGACTGGAAGAGCCTTAAATCTAAGGTACAATCACAATCACATTTAGGGCTCTATACAGAGGGGAAAAAAAAAACCAAACATAATTGCTTCACGAGATGTTTCTTGTTTTGAAGGGGTGTTGGATCAAAGGCAAAAAAATCCAATGTTCACGTCTGATTAAAGTTTTTAAATGGCGTATTTGCCTTTTTTTTTTTTAATTAGGTTTTCAGACTTCCAGTATCTGAATTTCTGATTTTACCTCAGTTCTGAATATGGAAAATGGTTTTCCAGGACAGCAGTCTTCTTTTATTTTATCTTCTGCTTCAGACGCAAACTTCACTTCAATGTGATCCAGCTGTTAAAAAAAAAAAAGGGGGGGTAGGGAGGGAAATAAACAGGAGTTTAATCATTTTGAAGGGAACAACAGGAGTTAACAGGCCTATCAAACAACTGTTGGCATAGTAAAGCAGAAAGTAAATGTGCATTGACATAAGGCAACAATAGCACACCCAAAATCACAACATACTGTTTGGAATGGACTTCTGAGGGTCACCTACTCCCTGCTCAAAGTGGGACTACTGCCCACGCTGGACCAAGTCCGCCTCCGAGGACAGAGATCCCCCACCCTCTCCAGGTAGCCTGCTCCTACACTACACTGCTGCCCTAGCAAAGAACCTCTCCTCATGTCCCATCTCAGCCTCACAAGCTGCAACTCCAGCAGTAACTCCCTGTTACCATCCCTTGTTTGACTATCAGCCCACTACCAAGAAAGAGGTTGGCTTTATCATCTTTGTAACTCCCTAAGTAGCAGATTTCTCCTAGATCTTCCCCTCAGCCAGTCTCAACAAGCCCACCTCCTTCAGCCTCTCGCTGGAGGTCACGCACTCTAGGCTCTCCCCAGCTATCTTAATGGTTCTCTGCTCAACAGCCGCAAGTCCTCAACAGCCTTTTTAAACTGCGGGTGAGGAGTCGGGAGGACGAGAGAGGGGCACAACACTGACACATACTCCGAATTCAGGCTCAGCAGAGCTGAGTGGAGATGGATGACTTCCCTTGACTTGCCAAATTACATCCTATATAGGTAACTCCTCCTAATGTAGGTCAACACGCAGCGTGGCTCGTTTGCAGTGACAGCACACTCACATTAAATTTACATTGATCTTGACAAGCCCACAGTAACCCCAAAGTCCTTTGTAGGAGAGTTCATGGCCAGCCAACAAGTTCCAATTTACACAGAAATGTGAGGTAATTCTGCCCTGGTACAGAACTTAACAATTCCTGTTAAACTTCAGGAGATTTCATAGCCCAGTTCTCAAGTTTCTCTAGATTCTCCCGCATGAAAGATCCACTGTTTAACAGATGCACTGTTTAACTGCTCCCTCCCCCAGTTCAGTGAGTTTTGCAGATTTACAGATATTTTAAAGTAAAAGTTGTTGCTCGCTCTTGACTTCGCTCTGATACGGGACAAGTCCAATAAAACCACGTTTATTTCATACTGTACAGGTTACAAAATGAGCTGTCCCCTCATTAACACGTGCCTATTGAACTAAATTCTGGTTATCACATGAAGCAGCATAACTGCTACTAGACTGGCACCCATTTTACTATATACCGTAGTTTTAAAAGCCCTGCCCAGAACCTGCTCCTTGAAGAGGGCAGGGTAATCTGCTACAGTTAACATGCCATTGTAAGAGTCCAAGGATACAAGGCTAAGGACTCTGATCATTCTTGCTAGTCATGCCTTGAAACATTTCATTCTCATTTCTTCAGCTGAAAAAAATGTAAGATACTGGTTGGCTCAGAGAAAAATGTCTCTTCAAAAGTGTCACTGGACTTTACTGTCACAGATATAACCAGTACTGCAGCAAAACCCACCTCTGTTTTGTGGGAACATGTTTGTATACTACACACCTACCACTGTGTCTCACGACTGTATTTAACAGCTTTATACACCTATATTTGACAAATTTAAACAGCAAGATCAAAATACAGAAAGCTGAATAAAAACTATTACCTGAGCAACATACACTCAGAAGTTAATGGAAACAGGCTTAGAGCCTTAGGAAAGGCTGGTCCTCCAGCTATCCCAATAAAAAACAAGTAATGAATAGACCAAGTGTATACCAACCTCCAGGGAATTTGTCAAATAGACAATATTCTCCATGAGCACTGCACGTTCATCAAATTCCAGTTCCAGATCAAGAACACGTGAACCATTCTTCTCCAGATTTTCCTGTCAGAGGAAGGAAAAAAAAAAAAAAAAAAAAGGATTAAAACCCTCTAAACGCTGCAAGTAAAATGATGCTTCAAAATGGCAAATTATCTACATTAGTCATGAAAAGAATAGGCTTTTAAATATGAGAGCTCTCTGCTGGCACAACATGCTAACGTAGGAGCAATAATTTTCTTGTAACAGGGTTTCTTCTACAGGGAGTTAGTGACACTGATGGGAGGAATAAGAGCAATTAGAACACATTTTTAATATAGCATTGAAAAGGTGTTTGACATTCACAGTTATTTATAATCCCTACTTAATGTGCAGGTTGAGAATTCACAAAATAAGTCAGCATTTCAGTGGTATTTCACAGCAGGAAATTCAGTCTTATGACCTAGTTTAAAATAAAGGACAAGCATACAACAACTGGACATGTTCACATCAGTTGTAAAACAAGTTCTCTGCAGGGAAATAACAACTACTTTATACGTTAACATAAAAGTAACTTAATTAGTCCAGAAAGCCAACAGCAACAGTCACAAGAGAGAAACTATTAAAGGCAATATAAAAACCACGTGAATCTTTTTTTTTTTTTTTAACTAAAACAGAACTTCCTCTTCAGAATTTAATCTGTCCCTTTCTTGCTTTCATATGCTGAGCCAGCTGTCTCCTTTGAAGTTCTGCTTTGTCAGACTCAGCATGGTTGCAGTTTCCTGGTTTCCTTGTCAGTTTAATGTGAAAGATTCCCTACATTAACACTGAATTGCTTCCCTTTGTAAATCACAAAGTTTCTCCTACATTTAAGCTCTCCTTTGAATAGGAAGCACAAGCAGAAATGCTCCTTGTACACTGGAATTGCTGAATAATTGGCTTCAGAGAAAAACATACTGATCTAGGGAGTCTGAGCTCAGACGTTTCTATGTCTTCCTGTGAAATTGCTTACTGCTCTTTAAAAGTGAAAGGATCGATTGTTGGTAAGACTCAGCATGCCAACCCATCCCCTGTGTGCACCAGGATCACTAACTATTGCCAGACTAACAACATGAAGAAACAGGGATGCTTCAGACCTAACACACTTATAGGATTGAAAGCTTGTCTGACCTTTTCCAACTGTTACCAGTTGATCTAACACATCACTGCATCTCTTTACAAACTTCCCTCATACAGGAAGCTTCATAGCTGCTTTGTGCTCTCTGTTCCTCTGTAGGCTTCTGAGCTACCATGAAAAGGAACAATTAGAATAACCCTAGAGAGAGGACAAAAGAGCACCCCCATTTATAAAATATGACAAAGCTCACAAATAGAAGACATTATTACATGCATTTTAAAAATCAAGCTAAAGCTTAAGGAGAAAGAGTAATATTTTTACACTCATTAAATTTTTTTCCATTACTAATCCCTCTCAACTTCTACAGATCGTGAGTAGAAGTCAAAAAGGTTTTAAATCCTACTCTGTCGCCCCCCCCTTTTTTTTTTTATTTAAAATTTTGCTTATTCATTGCTTTTTGAAACTTCCTAGTTGCTGTATTGAATTTTTATCTGCAATAGCAAGCACAAAAAAAGTTTCTTGAAAAAAAATGCAAGCCATGTTTTTCATAGGCTTGCATGACTCTGGGAAAATAATAATGAAATATCAGAATATTAGTGACAAAACCGTAAGAATGATATACAAAATTCATAATTCCGTTCAGGGCTCAGAACACTCCTTTTTCCTCCCTTAAATGTAGTGCAATCAATTACCTCTAGCCTTGTTCTTAACTTTCAAATGTTAAGCATTTTTAAGTCTCCAGAGCAACACCTTATTCTCATTTCAGTATGAAAAACTGGAAAAGTCAAATACGATGCATTTCAAATGGAGAGGAATCCACTTGTCTTTGAAGCACAGATTGTATAACCTGCAAAATACCCAAACTACCAAGCCTCAACTAGACCATTAGTTCACCTGGGTCAATTCATGTAGAGACATTTTTATTGTATCTTTCTTCCAGAGATGTCAAAGAAGTTTATAAGCAAAAACATGAAGATGCCAAATAAGCAAGGGGCAGGATAGAGACTGAAGTCAAAAGTTAGTAGGAGATCCAGGAATGAAATAAAGGAAATACTCGTGCACGAAGTTACAGGTTATTGTTGCCTTTGTCCAACATGTTTCATTCACAAAAGCTTTTTCTATACAAGAACTATCCTTCTGACACTTACCTTAATCATGGCAACAAAAGGCATAACCTTCTTCATATACTTCTTCAGCTCCGGCAAGGTGTTAAGCTCACTGGCAATTACTTTATTATCTGGCAGTTGACCTCCACTGACCTAAACATTGATGAACATCCATTAAAAAGTATAGGTACCATTAAAAAAACTTGCCCTTTAATATCATATACCCTTCGTGCTTTCCCATAAATACCAGCAAGGTTTGTCATCGTCATTGATTCCACATATAATAATTTTCTCATCCCTTTGAAACATTTTTAAAAGTAAAATTTTAAAACTTTGACCAAAATAAAACACAGATAACTACTGCCATTCAGGCAACTCAATATTATTCTGCATTTCCTTTATTCTTCCTGGTGACTATGTTAGTATACCCAAATTTTCTACCAGAATGCATTTTAAATCTACATTTAAGCTTTATCACAAGCACATTTTTAAGCACTAGTTTCCTGAATTGTTTGGGTTTTACATCCAAAATTTAGATATTTGCAACAATCCTATTTAGTGCATCAGACCAAACAGCAGATTTTAACACCGATGCAGAAAAAAGCCTATAGAATGCCCAAAGTTTAACACCCCAAAAACAAATTTCACATGAGGAGTATTGGTTTATCTCAATACCGCAAGCTGGAAAAGTCATGACTCTCTAATCTATCAGCTACAATACTCATTTGTTCAAGCTGAGAAGGATGGTTCATCAAGATTGCCAAAAGCCTCTCTCATCAGTTTCCCAATGTCACAAGCACAGACTCTTCTGCTTTCAGAAAAACTTATTTCTTCTACTTATGACTGATGTATTCCATTTCAACATATTTCTTGTAACACCACTGAATAGTATACACCTATTCAAGGACCAAAACAACGCTTCTAAGCCCACTTGCATAGTAAGGCAGCATTAATTTGTCAGTCAACAATGTTTCCTCAGAAATATACTTGGGAAGAATATTTTAAAAGCTATCCACTTACAAATGAAAAAAAATAATAGAACATGGGCCGCTTTTTACTCAGATTGTCAAAAAAAAAAAAGAAATCATACTGTCAAATCAATGACATTCTTTGGGACATTTTCATTAAGCACCAAAATTTAATGGACAGTTGTAAAACCATAAAGAAAATTAAAACTGTATTGCTTTATATTTAAATAATTTGGTAACAAATTACAGCTTATAAGCTTTTTACAGAGAGAAAAAAAGAGCCCACAAAAAAGCAGGTAAGCAGTCCAAAGAAACATGAAAGGATGGCCACCTGATAGTGCTTGCGCAGAACTGATAAGGTGGTGTGCTGCCAAGGCGGGTAGTTCTTTGCCACGTAGATGGTACAGTGAGAAGGCTTCTGGGAAGGTTCTTTAGTACTTTTCTAAAGAAACAAAGAAAAAAATTAGGCAGGAGCCCTGCGGCAATACAGAATTATCAAGTACGCACACTCAAAAAAATGAGCTAGTACACTTCACCTTTCCTTTCACAGGTGCCATGTAGTTCTTGAGGCGGAGTCGGAGGTCATGAGCTGCTTCCATGAGGTACTGAGAGGAGCGAATTAATACCTCATCCACAGGACCTGCTATCGGCCATGAGGCTCTCATGATGGAATCCGGCTTTGAGGAAAGGAAGAAGTGACATGCACCGAGATGAAAACACACCAGTATCTGGTGGTTTTTCAACCCATTATAGCTTGACTGGAAACTGGAGTTTAGACAGTTTGAACCTCAGTGAGCACCCACCTATAACTAGGTTGTAAAGGAATACAGCCAACAAGCATTTATTTGCAAGTGTGTTAAGGATTATACATACAATTACACCTGTCATATAGCTACATAACTTCATCTACAAGCACAAGGCACTTAGAAAAACTTAAGTTTCATGCATACGTGTAGGAATATTGCATTATTTGGGTTAATTTTAGATCACCTCTTTGTGAGTAGCCAACCAAAGTGACTTGTATTACAGTTGCATATATCATCACAGTAACAGGCTAACTCTGTATGTTCACTGTCCTATGGACAATAAGCTATTACGGCTCTTCATATTATAAGACATATGTTTCTTCTACTTGTATATGAAAGACATCCATAAGCCTGATACAAGCCTTACTAAAAATCAGTAAAACCTTAGATCAGAATCAAATGACAAAACCGAAACATTAGTACCTTTCCCAGCAGTGACCAGATGTGCTCACATAAGTGGGGACAGATAGGAGCCAACAGCAGAGTCTGAACTTCAATAAACTGAAACGCCAACTCTCTGTGCATTCCTTCTATTGCCAGCTCACGATATTTATCTTTTGCTGCCTGAAACACAGCCAATGCAACCATCATTAACACACTCCAACTGCCATGCAGAAACACTTAGAAGAAAACACACACAATTCTTTGCTCTAACACGCCTTTAGAATGTAAGCTGCTTAGAACTCAATAATGGATTATTACAAGAACTGTATTTTCCTGAAGCACCTCAGTGTGAATCTGTCGGTTGGCCATTTGATTTTTGCATTAACATGGTACTTTTCAAAAAGTGTTTATTGGCAAAGACATAAAAGACAAAAATATCCACAACTGTGTATCAGGTACTATCATCCCGAATAGCTTGCATAAAGATACTAATAAGTACTAAGAAAAAGGCAATGAATATGATCTATCATTATACATATAATTCAGCCTACTTAATCATATTCCTGAATATCATAAAGGAGCCACATAAAGGAGACTCTGTAATTCATTTCAGCAGACGCTCCGGAGACATGGTTTATTGAATATATCAAAAAGCACTCTACTTCCAAACAATTTTGTTGATGTATTATCTGGATTTCTTATGAAGAGTTCCTTATTACAAAAGGAGCTAAAGAAAGGAAACACTCTTTTTCATAGTGTCTTTTTTTAAGCAGCTTTTTGCTCATATTAGATACCAGGACTATTTGCAGCGTAACAGTTGTCTTCCTCTGGACCTTTGTAAAAATGACACAAGCAGACCTTTATAATTTCAGATTTATTCCATTAAAGTACTCTTGTTTCTTGGCACAATTCTGATTCCAACTCAGCTGTATGATTAAGGATCAGAGACGACAGGATCAAAAGAAATCCACAAAGTAACAAATACCAAGTGCTGGTTTCTTACACCTAAAAAGTTACCTCCTACCTGAAATTCAAAGAAGCCAGTTTTCAGAGCTTCCTTAAACATCATCTTCTCATAATTTTGGTCTGTCTTCACTATGCCTGCATTCATTTCACTAGGGAGGGAAGGGAAGTGAAAACATCAATACTGCATAGTCTGCCCCACATAATGGCAACACTGTGTAAAACAACACTATCAATGTCACCAGTGCAGCACAATCACATAACCTATTCTGTAATGTATTTGGTTTTATGGAATTCATTAATTTGTAGAAAAAAAAAAGATAACTACAGAGATGCTCCTTGCAAGAAAAAAAAATGGACTAAACCGTATTATTAGCCTTTGTACAGTACCTGGCAAAGACTCTATCATTGAAGGTGTTGGCAGGACCACTTCTTAGACTGTCCCTGTTTGCAATCATCTCCTTTACCCACTCCACCCACGTGTAGAGACGAAGAATACCAGCATCTGCCATGGCTTCCACAAAGTTGGCATCTTCAACGGTGTCTCCAGCATCAGCCAAAGCTAAACGCATGCCTGAAAGAAACTGGATCAGCTAACATGGCTGGCATGCAATTAGCTGGTAGATATAGATGCAGGAAGCATAGGACTCAAAGTGAATTACAACTAACTTTTCATTATGAGTTAATAAAATGCAAAGTGAATTTACAAACTGCCAACTAGGGAGAGATGTCTCAAAGGATGCACTTTACCCAGGAGAGGTACACTGCCCTCCTTAGGGAGGAAACCAGACAGACACCAAGAACTAGGAGACTAGTACAATCACTGTCCAAAAAACAAAAGCATGCAAGAACTAACAAGGGCATGCATGTATACACACAGTGTGCATCAACAGTAAGTGTCTTATGTTTTGGTCTCTTAAGTGAATGTGGAAGAATGAAATAGGCACCATCTAGGAGGTCTAAACACCAGGAGCAGTTCTTGGTTGAAACAGGTGTTGTGCTAACATGCATCCCAATTTCCTAAATAGAGTTCAGCTTTTCAAACAAGAACAGGTGGTAAGCAGTAGATTTATTGCAATTCATTACTCCAATAAACCCACTGCTCCTTTGAGAACAAAACTCTGATTTTAGTCATTTTGGCATAACTGAAAACCAGATGCAGGTCAGAACATACTTACCATCTGCAGAGAACTTGTCAATAGCTTGAGTTAGGGTAAGAAAGTTGCCTGTAGATTTAGACATCTGAAAGAAATAGAAGAGTCTTTGTTTTCTCATGCATCCATTTTGTGGTTGGATAAACAAGACAGATGCAACAAGGGTTTGGGCAAACCATTGAGAAAGTATTTTCTCATGAATCATAGCAAAAGCAGTTTGGTAAATCTGAACTAGGTCTCACAGTAAAAGCAGTCTAAACTTTGCCAGCACTCATCTAACTCCTGAATGTCGAGCTTGTCTCGAGACTTGCACAAGTTGTTACACCACAGCTGCAGGGAAGTGATAGCTGCCTTCTGCATCATTTGGGTTCCACTGTAGACTTTTTCAGGCTTGGAAAAATGGGACAACTGGTACGAAAATTTAATTCCAGAAGTTACCTAAATTAAACTTAAATACTATTCAAAATTGGTGTTTTCAGCTCATCCTGCACTGATTTTTCAAGAAGGACTGTGGTGGGCTTTTTGCTTCATATTGGACAGTCTCTAAGGCCTAATTCCTAGGCTCAGGCACTTTTAAATTCAATTAAATTCAATTTCAGAACTTGCATACATTAACAAGTTACTGGCACAAACTTTTTCTTCTCACTGCATCTACTCCAATGCTTAACAAAGCTAAAATTTTGTCAAAAGAAAAAAAAATCATTCTACATTCTGTATTACCCTAAAACTTAACAGAAATACACTGAAATCTTTACTAAACTGGTGAAGCTATACAAGAGCTAACTTAAGAAAAGTGTTAGACAGAATTGGAGGAAAGGCAGGTCTTTACCTCTGATGAATGAAAAACTGGAGAGCACCAATGAAGAAACTAGAATTTTCACTATTTCCTCCTCTTAAATTCTGAGAAGGATTTTTCCAGTCTGACTGGCAAGTGCCTATTTTGACAACCACAAAAGCCATCTCCTACATGAAACCTCACTATACCTTTTCAGAATTGAGAAGGAGATGTCCATTTGCTCTCACAGCTACTGGCCATTTTTCTCTGTTTGAAGACAAGATACAAAGCATTTGGTAAAGTAAATACATTTTCTCTTTTTAAAAAAAAAAAACCAACAAACATTTTATGTTCAAGTTTGGGGATGAACACCTTAAGTGCAATCTTCAAAAAAATACCTAGGGGTGTCTTAAAAATAAAGAGTGTCTCTAAAGATGGAAAGAACTACAGTGTATGAGTTAGGGATTACCACTGCTGAAATGCAAAGCAGGGAACATTGGACCACCTACAATTATACTTCATTTACCCCACCTCCTTCTATTCAGCTACATTCAATTTAAAGGCCAATGATTGGCATGGCCCAACAGCACTTGATAGACCTAAGTCCCACTACCTCTACCAATGGAGGAAGCAGATATCAGATTCTCCATGACCATTTTTACTATACATGAGAAAACAGCTTTTCCTATATACAGTTTTATACAACTCTTAAACAGAGGTTCAAGGGAATGCAAACATAATATCTTAATGCACAAAACTACACCTTTATAAAAGCACCATGTGATCAGCAAAGATTCTAAACCTGTACTGCATAGTCCATGGGAATATGTATACACTGTTTTAACAATCCTTGAGAAGTAATTAAGAAAACTTAATGATAATAAAGTTACTTAAAATCCCAGTGCAGGAATACGATTCAATACTGGAAAATACATAGGAGGAGGTATTTACAGAAGACATTTGACTTTTATAAAACAGGCCAATGAAAGCTAGAGTTAAAGTTTGCTCTCCACTTTTACACATTTGCTTTTTCATGTGGCTACCTAACTGAGCATTTCGTCCCTCCATAGATAGCTAAAACAAATGAAAAATAGCATCAAACACCATAATTCCAACATAGTCTGCATTTGGATGTAGCTCTAGATGCCGTTACTTAGTATTCTCTCCACTCCCAAAGGAGGAAAAAATCCTAAAGATACACCAATGCTGTTTCAATATGTTTTTACACATATCCTCTAAAGAAGCACCAAGCCAAGGTACTGTTTAGTTAGGACATATAAATCCTTAGGTTTGCTCTAGAGCTGATTGAAACTGCCAAGTCAATTATGCTACATGCTAGAATTCCAATGTTAAGAACAAACAGGATTTCAGCAAGTCAACTAGAAGTTTTATTATGCAGTTAAATTTCAGTGTTGCTTTAAACAAGGTTTTAGAATTTGTAAGAATCTTGCATCTTAATTTTTAAAGGATTCTAGAAAAAATAGGAAATAATGGTAAAAAGCCTTCAATTTCAATAACTTCTACTATAGATAATTGTAACAAAGCTGCAATATGTAAGAATACATTGAAAGAATACATTTTCAACCTAATTCTGAATGTTGTACAGTCCAAAAAAGCCATTAGCAAATGTACCAGAACTACAAAATCTCCGGCTTTATCTCCTGCACACCTGTTTTGCATTATCGCCAAACTTACCTTCCATCTGACCACATAGCCACGTGATTATAGAGGTAGTACGACAGATGATTTGGAACAAGATCTTTGCCAGAAACTCTGAGATCCACAGGATACCAAAATTCAAACTCCTCCTTTAGCTTGTCCAACTTTTCTTTTGGAATCTCTGTTTTAGGAAATGGAGCTGCCTTGAAGAAGATGTAATCCCAAACTTCTTTGCTCATTTGATGTGCCCTGCACAGAATTAGTGCCATATTGAGATGGCAGTAAAAGTTCCTCTTACACTCCACAGCATTTTGAATAAGACAGCTTAAAACTGTTGTTTCATTCTCACAACATACTCCATTTGATAAGCAGAGCAAACATGGACAAAGAGTGTACAGGCACTTTGTCTAAGATCAGATGAGTGAGTTCAACATCAGCAACAAAATCAGAACTCAGAACTGCTCAAGCCATGCCCTGCTTAAAATGCCCTTTGATATTTCCCAATAAAGCATGAAGACTCCCATAAAGAAAGAGTGATTAATAATTAAAATGTAATCTTGAATGTCCTGGAAACCTCATTATTTCTTTTCCAAACACCGCCCCCCACCCCCACTTGTGACCCTAACTGAATACTGAAAACCTATTACTAGTACTTAAATTTCTCCACCCTCCCTTGCACTGGGTCAGATAGCCCTTCCTTCTGGCTGTACAATTCAAGGTTGCCTCCTACATAGAAAAATTAGTGGTCTTTTCCCACTTTGAATGGAATTAATCCATTCAAAATTAACATTTACTGTAAGATACATTTTACCAATTACTAGAGGTAGGATCCACAATTTTGAATGAAAACACTGATGAGATGCAACTTAGACCCACAGTTCTGCAGCCACTGGCCTGCATTAAAAAAAAAAAACCTTCTTGTTTCTACAGAGATTTTTATTCCTCGCTCCTTAGAATTTCACTGGAGTCCACCAATACTTCCTGCACACATTTCAAATTAAATAATTTCAAATCAAAGTTTACCATTTATTAACATCTGCCAAGGTGCTTTGGCCAGTATTATGCAGAGAGGAAAAGCATTCTGGATCTAACGTACCTCCAGTATATATTAAACAACTAGTTCAAACGACAGTCAATACCACCAGTCTAGAATAAAGTCTTACATGCACCAGTTTGCTGGTTTAGATCTGGTAGTTATTTTTCTATGCTTTAAATTACTGCTGTGCGCTGTGACTTAGCTTCTGTGTTTGGTACCAAAGATTGTTGTAACCAAATGGTGACTGACATGACGCGCCATAAATCCCCTTTTACTTCTCTCAGAGTAAGTTAGCAAAAAGTGTTTGCTAACACGGTAAGAAAGATGTTATCTACTTGCATCGTACACTCTAATTGTATATACTTAATTACATCAAATCTATAATTCAGTGCTCAGGATGCTCACTTCAAAGTTTGTTTCCAGACATGACTAGTATGTAGGTAGCCTCTCTATAATTAGAGAGGTTTGAGCCAAAATTAAAACCTTGCCAAGTCTTTCAGAACACTTCTGTTTGTACGAATCTTCACTTTGCAAACGGTTTTCAAATTAGTTACAGCATTGAAAAAGGTAAGTTCCAGTTCAAATGTGTAAACTACTCCAGCAAATAGTTCATAAAACATGCAGAATTAGAGCATAAGATCCAAGGCAAGATTAGCAGTGTTTTTTTCAATTCCAGGTGAGTTGTACTATCTCAACTCTCTGATCTCTATCACTGAAAGTTCACAACCACTCCAACCAAGAAGTCACAGAGCAGTCTTAGGAGGTATTTTGCTACAAATGCCTTCTCCCCCTTACTCTGAAGGTTTCCACATACGAGTTGTGGATAAAAGATGGTTCTAAGCTTCTAAGAGAGTTACCAACTTCTAATACAGTGACAAAAACTAAGTGCTAATCTTGCCCACTTTGTACACTGAAGCATAAATTTTTTTATAGTTGCAAAGCAGTCTCAATAAGCAGAGACACTTCA